CTGGAAATAAATGAGAATGAAGACACAAGCTACAGAACCTGTGCGACACATCTAAATCTGTGTTAAGGAGAAAATTTATAGAAGGGCCCACATAAACAACTTCACCTCACAGCTCAAGATCTTAGAAAAGAATCAAGAAAAGGGGCTCAAATCAGGTATAAGGAAAGAGATCATAAAACTTAGAGCAGATTAACGACATGGAAACCAAAAAAAAAATCCAAAATAACAATGAAACCAAGAGCTGGTTGTTCGAGAAAATAAGTAAGATAGATGAACCACTAGCAACACTCACAAAAAGAAGAGAGAGAACCCTAATAAACCTAGTTGAAGACAAAGTTGGCAAAACCCTCCATGACATTGAAGCTAATGGTATCTTCAAAGATGTCACACCACTAGCCAAGCACGTGAAAACAGAGATAGACAAATGGGACTATCTTAAACTAAGAAGCTTCTGCACCTCAAAAGAAACAGTGACCAAAAATATAAAGACAGTCTTCAGAATGGGAAAGGATATTCACCGAATACACATCCGACAAGGGGTTGATATCAAGAATATACAAACTACAGGTTGAACTCCACAAGAAGAAAACATTCAACCCCATCAAAAAATGGGGTGATGAAATGAATAAAAACTTTCTCAAAGAAGAAATCCAAATGGCTAAAAGGCACATGAGAAAATGCTCCACATCATTAATCATCAGGGAGATGCAGATCAAAACAACAACGAGATATCATTTCACACCACAGAGACTGGCCCACATCCACAAGAACAAAAACAACCGGTGCTGGCGCAGATGTGGCAAGAAAGGGACCCTCCTTCACTGCTGGTGGGAATGCCGACTGGTGCAGTCCTTTTGGAAAAGAGTAGGGACGATTCTCAAAAAATTAGAAATTGAGCTTCCATTTGACCCATCAATACTATTGCTGGGAATATATCTCAGAGAGACAAAAAAGTATAGTCAAAGTGACATCTGCACTTGTTTGTTCATTGCAACACTCTTTACAATAGCCAGAATCTGGAAAAAACCTGAGTGCCCGAGAACAGATGACTGGTTAAAGTAACTGGTACATTTACACAATGGAGTACTATGTAGCTGTTAGAAAAGATGAAGTCATGAAATTTACGTACGAGTGGTACTACATGGAAAGTATCATGTTAAGGGAAATGAGTCAGAAAGAGAGGGATAGACATAGAAAGATTGCATTCATCTGGGGAACATAAAGTAACAAAATAGAAGACTAACACCCAAAAATACCCGAGATAAGTACCAGGTTTATTCCATGGCTTGGACGCCAGCTGTGCACGCTAGGGGAAAAGGCAACTCAGATAGAGAAGGGAGTACCAAATAAAAGGTGTTGGGAGGATCCTCCCAGATTTTAGATGCATGCTGAAAGTAGACTATAGACCGAACAGGATTGGCACTCAATGCCTCTTTTGCAAACTACGGCACCCAAAAGGAGAGAGAGAACAATCGGGAATGCCCTGCCACAGAGGCAGGGTGGAATGGGGTGGGTGGAGGGTGGGAGGGATACTGAGATCAGTGGTGGTGGAGAATGGGCACTGGTGGAAGTAGTAATACTCGATCATTGTATAACTGAAACCCAAGCACAAAAACTTGTAAATCCACAACTGTATCTCATTGTGTTTCACTAATAATAAATTTTAAATAATACTAGAAATTGAGCTTCCATATGACCCCACAATACCACTTCTGGGTATATATCCTGAGAGTGCAAAGAAGCACATATAAATGGTATCTGCACGTGTATGTTCACTGCAGCACTGTTCACAATAACAAAATCTGGAAACTTTCTGAGTGCCTGAAAACAGCTTACTGGTTAAAGAGACTTTGGTACATCTACAGAATGGAATATTATGCAGCTGTTAAAAATATGAAGTCATAAAAGTTGCTTATAAGTGGATGGATGTGCTAAGTGAAATGAGTCAGAAAAGAGGGACAGACATATAATGGCTTCTCATTTGTGGAATATATCATAAATTATTAGGCTAACAACCAAGGACTGCATAGACATGGGCCCAGAGGATAGGTCCATAGTTTTGAAGCCTGTTCATGAGTGCCTGTCATAAAGGCATGGCTTGGCATTGGGTGGGAGTGGCAGGAGGATACTGGGAACATTGGTGGTGGGAAAGGTAAAGTAGTGGAAAGATGGGTGTCCGATCATTGTGTGACTGAATCTCAATCATGAAAACTTTGCAACTTTATCTCACTATAATCCAATTAAAAATGTACTCATTCCCAGACAACATTTCTAACAATAGTGTATGAGGGCTCCTTTCTCTCATATGTGGGGCATAAAGATACACAGTGAGGTAGCAACAAAGGTCCAAAGGCAACATAATTGTAATACTTATCCACACAATTGAGTTGGAGGCAGGTAAGAGAGGGACAGCTGATGTGGATTCCCATGGGAGGGAGCTAGATACAGTAATGATGCATGTGGTGTTCTAATTAGTTGCATGAGAAATATTATTATTAGTGTTGTAAACCATGTTGTCTGTGTGCATATGTGCATATGATGTTGGAGCATCTGTTTCCATTGCCGTTGCTACCCATGGCCATGCTGCCTGACAGATGTTACCCATGCACATGTTTCACAAATCCCCCTTATTTTTAATGTGTACTTTGGGCTCTCTTCATTCTGTAAAATTCTGTTTTCTATTGAGCATGTATTTAGCTCTGCTCCTTTCCCTTTATTTAAAAATCACAGTCACAGTCCTCCCATTTTTCATCAATTTGTTTAAGTGGGCCCAGTAACAGTATGAGACTTGTTACTGTGTTTGGCATATCGAATTCGTCACGGGGAGCTTGCCAGGCTTTGCCATGCGGGTGAGATATTCTAGGTAGCTTGGCAGGCTCTCTGAGAGGTGTGGAGGAATCAAACTCAGGTCGGCCATGTCGGCCACATGCAAGGCAAATGCCCTACCCGCTGTGCCCTATTTAAAAATAAACTTGCTATATATTCTTCATTTTTTGTCTACTCCATAAATTATTTTCTGTGAGACAAAGGGGATTAAACCAAATGACCTGGATAAGGTTAGGACGAACTGTTTTTCTGCAAAGAGCAATTCCTCATTCCAGCCTGATTCCATGGTTCTCTGAGAAATTGGGTGGTAGGGATGCAGAATCTCGATTAAAAAATGAATCCAACCTTCTTCTGCCTACAAGAAACATATTTTAACTGGAAGAGAAAGCACTATCTCAAAGTCAAAGGTTGCAAGACAATATTTTAAGCAAGCATGCCCCACACAAAGGTCAGGATATTCATACTCGCATTGGACAACACCAACTTCTGTCATAAAAAATATGAGCGAATCATTTCTTAAGGATCAAGGGATATATACATCACCAACAAGACCAAATTATCCTAAATATATAAGCCTCTAATTAAAGACCAGAAAAATACATAAAACAGTTGCTGATTGACTTGAAGACATATATTGATAGCAAAACAATGATAGTTGGAGATGTCAATACTACTCTATCACCACTTCACAAATCAAATATACTAAAACTCATCATAAAATATTTGATGAAATGGAAGACAGGACCTTCATATGTAGGGCAGTCTCTAAGATAGGCCACATGCTGGGCCAAAAATATACCTCCATAAAGTCAAAAGAATAGGGCATCTATTAACTATATTCTCATGTCATGATGCATTGGAAATATAAGTTAATCACAAAAATAATTGAATAAATAGCTAAAACATCTGAAAATGTAATGGCTTGCTTTTCATCACCCAATGGATCAGAAAGAAAATCATGGAAGAAATAAAAATATTCCAGAAACAAACCAGAATGAGGACACTAATTACCCAGTCTGGTGGAACATAGCAAAAGCGTTGTTAGGAGGAACATTCATAGCTCTGAAAACATCATTCATCAGAAAGGAAGAAAAGGCTCACATAAATACCTTAGTCACACAGTTTGTGAAACAAGACAATGACCAACAAAAAAAGCAAAAAGCAGGCTCGAGGAAGAAACTTATATCATTTATAGCATAAATTAATGAACTGTAATTCTAAAAATAAATCCATAAGACAAAGGAAACCAAGAGTTCTTTCTTTGCAAATGCAAACCAGATCAACAAACCTAACAAAACTCAGAAAAAATGAAAGCCTGGTTAACCGAATCAGAAAATAAAAGGGGTATGTCATAACAGTACTGCATAAATTTAAAAAGAATTATCAGGTATGATTTAAAAACTTCAGGGCCAGAGCGATAGGACAGTGGGTAGGGCATTTGCCTTGCACATAGCCAACCCTATATCGATCTCTGGCATCCCATATAGTCCCCTGAGCACCGCCAGAAGTGATTCCTTAGTGCAGAGCTAAGAGTAACACCTGAGCATCGCTGGGTGTAACCCAAAAAGCCAAAATTTGAAAACTTCTATGTCACCAAACAAGAGAAGCTAGAAGAAATGGATTTATTCTTGGACTCCTATAACCTTCCAAATTTGAACCAAAAAGGTGTGGAAAACCTGAACAGACCTATCACTGTTGAAGAACTCAAAATGGTAATGAAAAGTTACCTCCAAAACAAAAAATCTGTGCTCTAGTGAGAGAGTCCTTTCAAACATTTAAAATAGTTATTATCAATCTCTTTCAAGCTCATTCAGGAAATCAAAGAAACAGAAACACTCCCAGTTTCTATGAAGCAAACATTACCCTGATTGCAAAAGCAGAGACAATACAAAAGAAAGAATAATTAAAAACCAATATCCCAGATTAGTATAGATGGAACAATCCTCATCAAAGTACTAGCAAATTCAATCTAACAGCTTATCAAAAACATCACATATCAAGACCACGTGCATTCAACCCAAAGATGAAAGGGTGGTTTAATATACAAAAGTCAATCAACATTACAAAACACGAATACAAGAAAAAATTAAAAATCATATGATCACTTTGATAGATGCAGAAAAATATTTGACAAGATTCAGCACCCATTCATGATTAAAAAAAAAAAACCTTGGGTGTTCTCTTCAGCAGCACATTTACTAAAATTGAAATGATACAGAGATTAGCATGGCCTCTGCGCAAGGATGACATGCAAATTTGTGAGGCATTCCATATTTTTAAGTGTTAAAATTTCGAAATTTCAATATCTCGTGGCCACTATTGCAGCTACGCAACATCTTATATTATTCATAACCAGCAATAGAAAACAAATTGTCTACTGTTGCCTTTTCAGCAGATCTGAATGTTGGGGTAAAATCCCAAATAATAACGGTGAGTCTGGTGTCAAACTATTGAATGTGATCAAAGTAGAGAGAGAGTAATGTGGAAATCATCTGCCCCACGGTAGGGGGAGGGTGTCGGATGGCGATATACTGGGGTTTTTGGTGGTGGAGAATGGGCATTGGTGAAGGTACGGGTATTTCATTATATGACCAAGACTTAAACCCTAAAGCTTTGTAACTGAGAGTAGTTACAAGGGATACGTACACCAGGAAGAAATCACACGCTTAAATGTATATGCACCTAATGAGGGAACAGCTCAATATTTAAAACAACTGCTAACAGATCTTAAGGAGGACATTGCTAGCAACACATTAGTAACTGGAGACTTCAAATCGCCTTATCACCTCTGGATAGATCAACAAAAACAAAACTCAGCAAGGAAACATTGGTTTTGAAAGAAGAAATAGAAGAGAAAGGGCTTATAGAACTATACAGGGCTTTACACACCCAAAAGAAAGAAAACAAATTCTTCTCCAGTGCGCACGGAACATTCTTCAAAATAGACAACGTGCTAGGCCACAAAACATACCTCAATAGAATCAGGAAGATAGAAATAGTATCATCAATCTTTTCAGACCATGATGCACTGAGAATAGACGTGAATAACACACAGGCACGGAAAACCAAATCAAACACCTGGAAATTAAACAACTCAATACTGAACAACGAGTGGATCAGGAAGGAAGTCAAGGATGAAATCAAAAGATACTTGGAAACAAACGAGAATGAAGACACTAGGTATCAGAACTTATGGGATGCTGCTAAAGCCGTATTTAGGGGAAATTTATAGCTCTGCAAGCATATCTAAGGAGGGAAGAAAGGATGCACAGAAACAATTTGACTTCACAGCTCAAGATCGTAGAAAAGGATCAACAGAAGGAGCCCAAATCAGGCAGAAGGAAAGAGATCATAAAACTTAGAGCAGAAATCAACGACATGGAAACCAAAGAAACAATCCGAAAGATCAATTAAACCAAGATTTGTTCTTGTAGAAAATAAATAAGATAGATAAACCATTAGCAACACTCACAAAGAAACAGAGAAAGAGAACCCTAAAAAATAGAATAAAAAATAAGAATGGGGATATCACAACAGAAAACAAAGAAATTCAAAAGATCATCAGAGACTACTTTGAAAGTCTGTATGCCACGAAACAAGAGAAACTAGAAGAAATGGATAAATTCCTGTATTCCTATAATCTTCCAAAGCTGAATCAAGAAGATCTAGAGTACCCGAATAGACCTATTAACATCAAAGGAATTGAAACCGTAATCAAAAGTCTTCCCAAAAACAAAAGCCCAGGTCCAGATGGATTCACTAGCGAATTTTTTCCAAACATTTAAAGAGGACCTATTGCGAGTTCTTCTCAAGCTTTGCCAGGAAACTGAAAAAAAAGAAACTTTTCCGAACAGGTTCTATGAAGCCCATATATCTAATACCAAAAGGAAACAAAGACATCTCAAGAGAAGAAAACTACAGGCCGTTATCCCCAATCAAAACGGATGCGAAGATTCTCAACAAAATACTAGCAAATAGAATTCAACAACTCATCAAAAAGATCATACACCATGACCAAGTGGGATTCATCCCAGGGAAGCAAGAATGGAGGAACAATCTGAAATCAATCAACATAATCCATCATATCAACTAAAGAAAAGATAAAAATCATATGATCACATAATTAGATGCAGAGAAATCATTTGACAAGTTACAGCATCCGTTTATGATGAAAACTCTTGGCAAAATGGGGATAGAGGGGATTTTACTCAATACAGTTAAAGCCATCTTCCACAAGCCTACAGCAAGCATCATTCTCAATGGGGAAATCTGAAAGCCTTCCCCCTAAGATCAGGGATGAGACAAGGATGCCAACTCTCTCCATTATTGTTCAGTATAGTACTGGAAGTACTTACAGTAGCGATTTGGTAAGAAAAAGATATTAAGTGCATTCAGGTAGGAAAGGAAGAAATTAAACTCTTACTATTTGCAGATGATATACTATACTTAGAGAACCCTAAAACCTCTACCAGAAATGTCCTAGAAACAATAGACGTGTATAGTAAAGTTGCAGGCTATAAAATCAATACCCAAAATTCCATGGATTTCCTATACACAAATAGTGAAAGAGAAGAATGTCTCATGAAGAAAACAATCCCATTCACAATTGGGCCCCAGAAAATCAAGTACTTAGGAATTAACTTAACTAAGGAAGTAAAATACCTGTACAAAGAAAACTACAAAACGCTATTTGAGATAATAAAAGAGGACACGAAGAAATGGAAAAATATCCTCTGTTCATGGATCGGGATAATTAACATTGTCAAAATGGCCATACTTCGCAAAGCACTGTACAAATTCAATGTGATCACTATTACGATACCCATGACATTCTTCAAAGAAATGGAGCAAACACTCCTGAAATTCATATGGAACAGTAAGCCCCCACGAATAGCTAAAGCAATTCTTGGGAAAAAGAAAATGGGAGGAATCAACCTCCCTAACTTCAAAATCTACTACAAAGCAGTAATAATTAAAACAGCATGGTACTGGAACAAAGGCAGAGCTGTAGACCAATGGAACAGGGTTGAATATACTGACATATCCTCCCAAGCATTAGATCATCTAATCTTCGATAAGGTGGCAAGAAAAGTGAAGTGGAGCAGGGAAAGCCTCTTTAGCAAATTGTGCTGGCAGAACTGGATGGCTACATGAAAAAAGTGGGCTCAGATCTCTGCCTAATGCCATGTACAAAAGTACAATAAAAATGGATTAAAGACCTCAACATCAGACTGGAATCCATAATGTTCATTGAAGATAAAGTTGGCAAAACCCTCCATAATATTGAAGCTAATGGTGTCTTCAAAGATATCACGCCACTGGCCAAGCAAGTGAAAACAGAGATAGACAAATGGAACTATGTTAAACTAAGAAGCTTCTGCACCTCCAAAGAAACAGTGACCAAAATAAAAAGACAGTGTACAGAATGGGAAAGGATATTCACCGAATACCCATCCGACAAAGGGTTGATATCAAATATATACAAATTACTGGTTGAACTCCACAAGAAGAAAACATCCAACCCCATTAAAAAATGGGGCGATGAAATGAACAGAAACTTCCTCAAAGAAGAAATCCGAATGGCTAACAGGCACATGAGAAAATTCTCTACATCATTTCTCATCAGGGAGATGCAGATCAAAGAAACAATGATATATCATTTCACACCACAGAGACTGACCCACAACCAAAAGAACAAATGCAGCTGGTGCTGATGCGGATGTGGCATGAAAGAGTTCCTCCTTCCCTGCTGGTGGGAATGCCAACTGGTTCAGCCCTTCTGGAAAACAGTATGGACGATTCTCAAAAAATTAGAAATTGAGCTCCCATTTGACCTAGCAATACCACTCCTGGGAATATATCCTAGAGAGGAAAAAAAGTATAGTCGAAGTGACATCTGCACTTGTTTGTTCATTGCAGCACTCTTTGTAATAGCCAGAATCTGGAAAAACCTGAGTGCCCGAGAACAGATGATTGGTTATAGAAACTTTGGTACATCTACGCAATGGAGTACCATATAGCTGTTAGAAAAGATGAAGTCATTAAATTTATATACAAGTGGTACTACATGGAGAGTATCATGTTAAGGGAAATGAGTCAGAAAGAGAGGGATGGACATAGAAAGATTGCATTCATTTGGGGAACATAAAGTAACAAAATAGGGGACTAACACCCAAGAGTTGCTAAGATTAGTACCAGGAATTTTGCTCCATGGCTTGGAGGCAGCCACACATGCTAGGGGAAAAGGGACCCCAGATAGAGAAGGGAGCACCAAATAAAGAGTGTTGGGAGGATCCTCCCAGGATGGGAAAAGCATGCTGAAAGTAGACTATAGACCAAACATGATTGCCACTCAATGCCCCTTTTGCAAACCACAACACCCGAAAGGAGAGAGAGAACAAAAGGGAATGCCCTGACACAAAGACAGGTGGGATGGGGGGATGGTGGGTGGGAGGGATACTGGCATCCCTGGTGGTGGATAATTGGCATTGGTGGAGGGATGGGTACTTCGTCATCGTATAATGGAAACCCAAGCACAAAAATTTGTAAGTTTACAACTGTACCTCATGGTGTTTCACTAATAAAAATTAAAAACAAAAGAATTATGTCAGAAAACATCCAGCTAGCTCACCGCATACATGAAGAACATGCTTAAGAATCCACTGTTTTGAGACACATTTTATTCTAGTGTTTTTATTCTTTCTGATATTTTAGTTATGAACGTTTGATTCCCCCCGCCCCCCGTTGTGTTCAAAGATATCTAAATGTATTATTTCAAGTGCAAAAATAGAGGACAGATATCAGATGTCGGCAGTGTTTCCAATTAAATTTGTCTTTGAATTTTTAATATAATAGTGGGCACAAAGTATTTCAGTGAACAAGTTTCAGCAGTTCAACTTTATAACAGTTTGAAATAAACTTGTTAAATTTTTCTGAATAAAGCCTGCATTTATACATTTAAATGAAATTTATTATTTGTGGCAACTGAATGTTGTTGCATTGTTGTCACACAGTAGATTCCATCTATCCATTATATTTTTCTAACAGAGTTTTCCTACAGGCAAGTACATGTTATAATTTTTGTCTATCTTACATGTTTTTTCCTGTAAGTTTGCCATTAAAATTCATTAAATTACCAAAAATTATAAAAGTTGTAATTCAAATAGGAACCAAAAAATTAGAATTTATACTTCAATTTAAGTGCCTGGAAGAATAATTTACTGACATAATCAGATTATTTTTAATAAAAAATTTCTGAGATATTGTCTTAAATAACTA